ATTACCGAGAATTATTTATATTCTGTTATTTTTTGTTGTAATCTTTCTTTTTAACATGTTACGTTTATTTAATGCATATTTTCATTGTTTTGAACAGGTTCTTATTTTTAATAAGCGACTACAACAGTCAGTAGCAAGTCACTACTGCGGTCAATCAGGTGGAACTGGAGGTCATTATTCTTAAAATAATAACATCCTTTTCTGCCTCTGTTCAAAACAATGAAAATACATGCATTGGATAATGCACGAACTCCTCGGCCCTCTCTTTTAAGAAGGCCTCGGAGCTCATGCATTATCCTATATATATACGTCGAATGTACATCAATATTGCATCATATAAATCACCGAGGAGGCGATGTTTCGAATTTCGAAGGAAAATGGAGCCAACCTCGTACATACTAATTTGTGATGATTTCCATCAAGTAAAAGGTACAGTATGAATTATAAAGTGTTTAGAAGTATTTTATTGTTACAAATTATTTAGCAGATTCCCATTATTTGTTACACTGACTAGCTCTATGAAATATATATTTTGAAGGCTATTTACAGTAACATATTTTATACAGTATGTTAATATAGTTAGCTGAATTTGTAGTTTAAATATTGAGAAACACATGGCCAGACTATGGTCTATAAATACTATACTCAGGCTCTCAGTAAAGTTCTACTCTCGCATGATTATTATTTAAAATATTGATTTATCGCTGCGAGAAACGTGTTTACACTTACAGTATTATTAAACTACAGTTTACAGCAGTATTAACTTGAAATACTTTGTTTTTACATTTACATTTAATGACCTTAAATTATTTAAATGAGCCATTGCTGTAATAACAGAGTGGTCAGGTTGACAAAGCCAAAATCTGATCAACCTAACTTGCTAGGATATTTCAAACATCAGTTTCAGCATTTATTCAGCAATCAGCATTATTTAATGTTAGTGAGTTAATGAGTATATTTTTAATATCCATGACAACTACTGCTGGTCAGGGATTTTTAGGGAAACGTTTAGCACCCCATCGTAAAACTTGCCCCCGAATCTCAAAACTTATTTCATTATTTTGTTCCCTTGCCCCTACATTTATACCTTTTGTGCCCTTGAGATCTTTAAAAAAATTGCCTAACTCTGCAATGTGACGTGTAACTTTGTTGCCATAATTATTTTCAGAAGGCTTGAATAACACCTGACAGAGATGGGGGCCATATGTATGAACAAGAAGAAATGAAATTTTAAAATTAAATTTACTGAATGATTTTGAAGTTTTCTAGATTATTGGAAAGAACTTTGTGGGTACAAGAAATGGGGCAAAAACAGACCGGGTCACCGGATGGTATTTCAGCACACTGGTGGACATGCAACCTAATACCTGCAACCTGTGTCACATTTATATAGTTTTACACTGTACTGGAAAAATAATGTCAAGGAATTTGTAGAGATTCAGAATGCACACTCCATGGTTTATTCAATCACCAGCATGCATGAATCATTTTATGTTATGAATATATTTTCAGTAAATTGTTCTCACTTTATAATAATTATATATCAATTTTCAACATAATAAATGAATATATAGTTACTGTAGCTTTTGATTATACAAGTTATAATAATATATCAGCAAATAATGACTGGTCTCTCTGAAATCCATATATAAAGATTCAAATTTGACTTCCACCACCACTACTTGATCTGGCAGTTGCCGCATCCGATTATTGTTTGATTGGATAAATAAAACTTATCTGGTTAATAGTTAATGATAGCAATAGCAGTAGTGGTTCAAGTCAAATCTGATCTCTCTATTATTTTTTGAAGATTTGCTCTAGTCAGTGTAGTCACTTCAATTCAGGGTTGCCCGTGCAACTTGGTTAGCATAGCTAACTGGCTAGCTGTAGTCACTTCAAGGTGGAGGTCCAATTCTTAGGATTCTGCAAATTAATTCTAGAAAACTGGCTTTGGTTTAGGCTAAGCAAAAATTATCACACTGTTTACAGATTTATCATGTTGATTTGGTTGTTTAACAGTTAAAGTCCAGGCTGCATGTTTTTTGTCCTGCATATGGCAGATGGGCAGCCCGGTTTCCAAGTGTTTATGTAGGAAATTAATATTAATTTTGGCTTCTGAGTGAAGGTCTTGCCTGCTTTATGCGAGAGCAGGCTCTATGTGAGATTCCAATTGCTACACAGCATGGTGTCAGGGCTCTTCCTCTGAAACGATGCTTGGTTGCGATATCATCCAGCAAGTGCAAAAATGCACTACCACGGTCAAGGATCATTTGGCATGTTCATCGACTATGTTAATCCATTGAGTGGCGGCATGCACTGTCCACCTGACGAGTAAAATTGTCTGGCGTTAGACACAGTAATCTAACAAAGTATGGTGCATTGCCACTTAAAGGGTTAAAAACGTGAATACCACAGCACAACACTTGTACATATACAACAGCAATCCTTTTATATATTTATAATTTAATGACTTCATATTTACATATTGGTGAAATATCAATGTGACAATGTCCATATATTTATAGGGAAACCAAATGTGCATGCGGCATAGGACGCTTGTGGTTGGGACAGTGCAAATTCGGCTAATTCTGTCACTTCGTTGACCCAATTAGAGACCTTCTCATTAACATATTCCTCCAGATACTCTCGTGACCCTAGCGCTGCTCCCAGATGTTTCTGCCCATGCACTGTTACATTGATATCCGTTCCATGGAAGACTTCTCTCACACTTTCTTCCTTTTCGGGCTTAACAATAATCCAGCATTTCTCGTCTTTCGGAAAATATCCCAAGTTTGGACCGAGAGTATTCAATGCATCCCACCAATCTTTGATTTGTGTCACACGACCAGCTCCACTCGCATCGTCTGCGAACCAGCACTGCTTCACGGTATAGATGCAGCCTGTAGACTCGTGATCAAAGGCAGGGTACTTATCGCATAAAAGGCCATTGCCAAAGGATCTCCTTGTGTAGTTCCTTCTGCTGACGCAATCTCTTTGCCGCCAACAATAAACAGCCGAGCTGGCTGTCTGTAAGTGTTTATAGCGTAGGCAGCGATTATCGGACATAACACACGGATGTTATGCAGAGCCACAGTTCTGTTGAGTGCATTGAATGCATTGGAAGCATCGATAAGTAAAACAGCATCAATGTCATCAGCTTCAAACAGGGTGTTCATTGCATGTATTGCAGCCTCACTTCCAGACTTTTGCCCAGCGCATAATTGTAACGATCCTTCTTGCTTCCACAACATCCTTCTTTGCAAAGCTCATAACACATTTTGCACTTATCCTCCTTATTACCTCTCCTACTCGGCTACTCCGATAGGTCTTACCGCACCTTCGCCTTTGTCTAGGGGAATTAAACGACTAGCAATCAATGCTTCAATAGTGGTAGGATCGATATATTGTACTTATTGTGTGCACAAAGTCTTGGTCATTCTGGCTATAGCTTCGCACAGTCTTGTAGATGATTGCTTAAAGGACTTACATGCCAACATTCTTCTAAAGCCGTTAGCATCGACACCAGACGGGCCTCCGGATCCCTTTGTTCTCAAAGCGGCTTGTCTATAACCATCTCACCATTGATCTGTGAGTAAATAGATTCGGGTATCTTGTCATTGAGCGGCCCAAATAATACCGATCCGAGCTTTGCTGGTTGTGGCTCAGGATGCTTCTGTTTTAATTGCGTCATTACATCGTCAGTTAACGTTAACACGCCGCCATTTGAGGTTTCACTCAGGAAGCGAAGGGCTGAGTTGATTTGACCTTCTAGCACGAGCTTAGTAAAGACTTTAGCTTTATCGGGGTGGTTTGATCCTTTAAATTTTCCAATAATAATAATAATAATAATAATAATAATAATAATAATAATAATAATAATAATAATAATAATAATAATAATAATAATAATAATAATAACTTTATTACTTTCAATAATATATATATACACACTACAATGATAAACCTCTCTTTACAGGTAGTTTACCAGTGTCTACTTGAATTAACGCTCTACATAATAACAATATTAGTATGACATTAGTTGTGGGTTATCCCATTCTTTGTTACGCTTACAGAATATATAATACGAGGATCTGATACATATGTTAATAATTTTCCGAACATAGTACTTTCTACATTGTTCATCAAACTTTAGATCCTTCAGCATTTCGGTGAAATCTAGCGACGGGTTGCTGAAAACTCCTGATGAGCTAATCGATAAATTTACAAATTTTACTTTTTCATAATCTTTGAGCTGATCGTTAATTAGATCTTGATATTTTTGTCTTTTTCGAGTTGCATTAGTGAGGAGATTAGATTAATAATAATAATAATAATAATAATAATAATATAATAATAATATACGGAATCCAAAGCACGAGCGCAAAAGTATCTGGGTCGGAAAAGGAAATATCTGCTTTCTGATAGCAACCAAAAGTACATGCCTACAAAATTGTAGCAATATAATGTAATCATATCGATAATAGAAAAGAAATATATACTTATACACCAAAAATATGCGTTAATCAACACACCTTTCACATAGATGTTCTTTTGGGTAGGTTACTAAATTTCAGGATTTTGGGCATCTCAATATCACTCGATACATTCAGTGATAGTTAAAGGGTTTTCGTAGAATGAAAATTCAACTGTGAATTATGTATAAAAATTTAGACTCGAATTTGTCGTCTAAAAACCCTTCAACTGTTATAAAAGCTATCGAGTGAAGTGCCCAAAATCCTGAAATTTATCCATTAATCTTACATTGGCATTACTGGGGTTTCCACAACTGCTCCTGGTTGGTCTATAAACTGGAATATTTCATCTACAAAACCCCTTCAAATAGACGTGTTTCTAACTATCTTTGTGCATGCAAATTTCGACGACTACAAGCACGTATGATAAATTTAAATCTAGTTCCTGTTTAATTCTGTTTTAAAAATTAAGTCATTTTTGATTTAACAGCAACATCTCCTTGCGAGCACCGTATACGTAGAGATATCATGAGATTGACCACAGAAGAAAGACTTCAATACATCTATGCAATAAAAACTGCGAGAAGTGATCCACGTTACAGCAAAAAATTTTACGATTTGGGGTACTTTCACACCGTTAATTTTTGTAAAGAACTTCATTGCAAAGTGAGCCTCCTACCTTGGCACCGTTGGTTTATTCTGCAATATGAAAATTTGCTAAGAGAAATTGTTCCCAACATTACATTGGTGTACTGGGATTGGAGCATGGTGATGGCAAATCCATTTAATATTGATCTTTGGGATGACAATGATTGGTCGTTTGGCGGAAACGGAGATGGTGTTAATAATACAGTAATTACTGGTCCATTTAAGGAACCTGAATGGAAAATGGTTCCTGGAGTTGGTCGATTTAGCAACTTACAATTCAAAAGGAAATTCAATTACACGTACCCCGGACTTCCGAGCGCTTTACATCTTGCCATTCTGCTCAAATTGAAACCTAATGAGGCGCAGGAATTCCTGGACGTCTTACTAGGTTGGCACAATAATTTTCATAGCAAAGCGTTTGGGTTTGTAAGTACAATGTCTGACGAATATGCAGTTTGGGCGCCGGAGTTCTTTTTGCATCATGCTTTTCTTGATAAATGTTGGACTGACTGGCAAGAACAGGGATATGATTATCAATTTCTCCCGTTCTTCACGGATCAGACTAGGCATATGTATGGGACACACTACTTGCCTATAGATTTCGTCGATACTAAATACCAACAGGGAAATGTATGTGTGACATATGAAAGATCTAAACAAGAATGGATACACAAATTGCTCAGAAGTAAGTATAAACGGATTCTAACAGTAAATTGATTTCCGCTTGATGTTTGGATAATAAAGTATATACGAAAGCATAAGGACCAATATATAAACACTTAGAATCATCTGCAACTGACAATGGGAGGCTAGTTTCTTTAGATCTACAATTAAGCATATCACTTAGACATGAGAAAAAACAGAGGCACTAAAACGGATCCCTATGGCATTCCCGATGTTACTGGTAAATAACATATATGTCTCACTATTGATCACCACTCTATGTCGTCGACCTAACAAATACGACCGAAAACCAAGATAATAAATTTACCCTGATGCCAAAAGATTCAAGTTCATACAGGAATTTACTATGAGCGACTTTGTCAAAGGGTTTCTCAAAGTCTAAATATATAGGCAGTGACGTAGCCAGCATTTCTAGCTGAGAGGGGGGGGCAAAAAATCCTGGGAGGGACCCAAGCAATTTTATCCTGCGCTATAGTTAGAATAAAGTTTGTGTATTATTATTATGTGGAAATGTATTTGGACTCCCATGATATATCTATCCATAATATAATAATATACATAGTACGTACGATGAACTTTTAGGGGGTCCGGGAGAATGCTCCTCTGGGAAAATTTTTCAAATTCTAGAGTTGGTAAAGTGCTAATTGAAGGTAAAATTTTTAATGCGTTCTGGTAATTAAATTATAACCATTTAACACATAACATTCATCACAACTCGACTTAATGACAAACGAATCCAGAACATTTAAAACATAGGCAGCACATGCTTGTATTGGCTGGTCAGAACTTTAACAACTTTTCCAAAGGGGGCCCAATATTTTGTCACTGTAACCTGCTTGCACTTAGCTGGAAACTATATGGTATACCCGACTTAGCTGAAAATTACTCCCCCTCCATAAAAAATAGAACCCGTTCGCCGCCGCTGTAAAAGAAAGTTATAGCAGAGTTGAAACCCATCAATGATTTATGTTTCAATGGTGTCATGGCGGGTGCTTGGTTGGTAGTGGCCATCCGACTAATCTCGGAAAATATTGCACATTTTCAGTAGTGGATTGAAGTGGATTAGGCGAGATTTTTAATAACTTACTGACCTAGAGTGAGGGCAGCACGGGAAAATATCCAACCGGAGACTTGCTGTATATTGACCGAGCGATAGCGAGGTCAATACAGCAATACCTAGCGGTTGAGGTCAGTCTCGGCAAATAAAATTTGGAGCTCTTCACCATCTTGACTGTTTCAAATTAATACAAAACCCAATTCAGTTTTAATTTTAAAATTTCATTCAGTGTATGTTATTTTGTCCATTTTCTTACCCTTAAAAATTTCCATTCCATATTTTTGTTGCTTTTTCGATTTTTTTAGTACAGAATTGTTCAACAAGTCGTCCAAAACATCATCAGACACTTCGGCAAAAGTGCAAAACGCAAATTTTCCGCCATTTTGAATTTTCTATTAGTAGGCTATCACTAATAGCCTACTGAGTAGCATAGCCAATCAGAAGCCACGATATGTGATAGCCTACTAGTAGGTTTATACTAATAATAATTATTCACAAATATAACATTTAATCGATCTAAATCGTAAATTCGCGCCATTCTAAAAACGCATTCTGTTACTCTTTTTAGACTTAACTATAGACCAACTAAGAGATATCAGAGGACTAACGTTCCCACCATTTGAAAGTGAGCAAGTCAGAAAATTACTAACAAATCATTCAACTTATGTTGATGTTATTGCTGAGTTCAACAGAAAATATAAACTTCGTAATCCAATAACTTTGGACGAGCTTGATGGAACAGATCGAGAACGAGGTTTTCGCATTCATGATTTAATAGAAATGTAAGTGCGCATATAAGATATAAAATAATATATACTTTGCATTGTTCAAGAATTATATGTTATTATAATCATTTGTACGATTTTCATCATTACTCGTTGTGAGAATAGCTATACATGCTCGTTTGTTTAGCGATCCTTCACAACCCGTAAATAACGATCGTACACACTGCGTCAGCTAGGGTATGTTTTTATCCGCGCTTGTGTGTCTGTCTATACGTAATAATACATGCATAATTTTGTGCGAAAAGTGGACATTGCCTCAGAACAAATTGAGTAAACTTTAGTTAGATTTGTAAACTGAATGCCTCAAAAATGATTTTTTACAGTTTATTTTCTTATTTTCTTGCTAAATTTCCAACATGAAGTTATGAAAGAGGTATATTTTATGAGTGATTGCTTCTAATGTTTTCTTCATGGTAATATAGTCACTTTATTAGCGAAACATAAAACAAATGAAAACACTAGCCGATGAAAACAGTGATATACGACAATTTACCACATGACATTGTTTATAAAGGATCGCTCACCAATCAAAACTCAGCTGATACAATAAATTACGGATGTGATAATATCATCCGCCGTTAGGATACGATATTTATTTCACCTTTTTACTGCACGAAAATCTCTGTACTTATATAATATATAGATGTTTTGCAAAAGCATATTTTGCGTTTGAAAATAAAATTTACATGGAATATTAAATAATGTTGTTATATGGCTATAGGGTGAACACTAAAAATGATTAGCTTATCGGCTTTAATAGATAAATACAATGTATCCACTGCGGGAAACAAATGAAAAATTGTTGGTATGAGTAACTGGCATGAGTATAGCTAGCACACGACGTTGCCGTAATCACAACGTGCGAGCAGGCTGTAATTTGGTTTGGTCCGGCCTAACCCGGCCTCTCTACAACTTTAACAGCACGTTTTCCTAAATGCTACATTTGATTGGTAAAAATTTTACGTGTGCAGAACGTTGTAGGGACTTCAACATCTTCTGATAACGTCCATGGAACATTGAAGTGGAACATCGTTTTTGCCAAAATTGGTTATTAAAATGGGCGTCCTCAGTATCGAATATCACATTTCGCCGTTGGCCGCGGAATTCAAACTTAGTCCTTCGCAGACGTGAGGAATTTATATTGTCATACTCTTTCTTCATCGATTTTAGTTGATGAATAATCATTTGTACGTAAGTAGAATATTATTTAGTTATTATACCATAGTTATCATATTTAATTTTTAAATGTGTCTGTGATGAATTACGCGGGACATTGATATTCGATATATATATCATGTTTAAATTTGTATCTCATTAATTTATATTTTTAGGCTGACAGTATGTATATGTCTCATCAGCGTATTAAATAAAGTGTTCAACAAGACAAGAGTGTTCCTCTGCCTATCAGTATCATATATAAATGTCACATTCTGATGATGAAAAGCTGTATGACCGTTGGGTTTCCAGTCAAATTATAATAAAGCTATATAAATTATTGCAATGTTGCTCGCAAGAGAACATCCGGTTTGACTGTAATGGGTTTAAAGCCTTCAGTGCTGTTTTTCCTGACAGTAATATATTTTGATGAATTAAATATTATTTAATCTGAACAAGTTGCAGCTACATTGTAACAAGTCAAGCACAAGTTCGTCGTATACTGGACTCAAATTGAGTCGCTGAGCTCACTTGAGTCCTTAGCAATGATTGACTCTTTACAATGTCACTGTTTTTGTATTATATATTATTCAGGTGATGCCAAAGTAAGGTTTTTAGGTAAATTAATTAAAGACTTTGGACTCCGTAGCTGCATGTGGAGTGGTCAGACCGCTGCACTGGAATTGCAGGATTTCAGGTTCAATTCCTCCTGGAGGGCATATGGTTGCAGTTTTCGAAGCTGGTCCTGGTCAGGTCTAAAATTTCCTCGAAATTCCCATCTACGAAGTCATCAACATTCTGTTCTGTCAAGCGCGATGCCCCAAATCTTGAATATTTACCCAATCTCTTACAGCATTTAAACATGTAATGAAAGCTATATTTGCCTTACCAAAGCTTTTAGAATTTGAAAACCAATCAATAAAAATTCTTGTATATTTAAATTTGCCTTGGGCGAGCAAGCTAGAAGCTATGTCAATTTCAATCAGTTTTATCCGAGTTATACCCATGAAATTAATATATTTACAGCTGAACTTTAACCTGTCTACCAACCACAACAAAGGAAGCAGATTCCGGAAACGGGAGTGTTGGTTTAAAATTGTTTGACTTTTTCTTATTGTTTACTTGTTGGACGTGTTGGGTTTGTTGGTTTTGTTTGGCTTGTTGGATTTGTTTGGCTTGCTGGATTTGTTTGTCGTGTTGGGTTTGTTGATTTTGTTGGACGCGTGTTGGGTTTGTTGGTTTTGTTTGGCTTGTTGGACGTGTTGGGTTTGTTGGACTTGTTTTTAATTGACGTGTTGGGTTTGTTGGTTTTGTTTGGCCTGTTGGATTTGTTTGACGTGTTGGGTTTGTTTGCAGTGGCGGAAATCTTGGTGGGGCAGGGGGGCGGCCGCCCCCCCCCCACCTTCGTGGAAAATGACGAATTTTCGGAAATTTTGACCTATAAGAGGGCTAAAAACAGCCTTTTCGAGTGCAAATGGTGGGGGGGGGGTTGTCGGAAATTTGAAAGTTTTGTCGGAAATTTAGAAGGCTTTGCCCCCCCCGCCACCGGAAAAAGTGAATTTCCTCCACTGTTTGTTTGGCTTGTTGGATTTGTTTGACGTGTTGGTTTTGTTGGACGTGTTGGGTTTGTTGGTTTTGTTTGGCTTGTTGGACGTGTTGGGTTTGTTGGTTTTGTTTGGCTTGTTGAATTTGTTTGGCTTGCTGGATTTGTTTGTCGTGTTGGGTTTGTTGATTTTGTTGGACGCGTGTTGGGTTTGTTGGTTTTGTTTGGCTTGTTGGCCGTGTTGGGTTTGTTGGACTTGTTTTTAATTGACGTGTTGGGTTTGTTGGTTTTGTTTGGCCTGTTGGATTTGTTTGACGTGTTGGGTTTGTTTGCAGTGGCGGAAATCTTGGTGGGGCAGGGGGGCGGCCGCCCCCCCCCCACCTTCGTGGAAAATGACGAATTTTCGGAAATTTTGACCTATAAGAGGGCTAAAAACAGCCTTTTCGAGTGCAAATGGTGGGGGGGGGGTTGTCGGAAATTTGAAAGTTTTGTCGGAAATTTAGAAGGCTTTGCCCCCCCCGCCACCGGAAAAAGTGAATTTCCTCCACTGTTTGTTTGGCTTGTTGGATTTGTTTGACGTGTTGGTTTTGTTGGACGTGTTGGGTTTGTTGGTTTTGTTTGGCTTGTTGGACGTGTTGGGTTTGTTGGTTTTGTTTGGCTTGTTGAATTTGTTTGGCTTGCTGGATTTGTTTGTCGTGTTGGGTTTGTTGATTTTGTTGGACGCGTGTTGGGTTTGTTGGTTTTGTTTGGCTTGTTGGCCGTGTTGGGTTTGTTGGACTTGTTTTTAATTGACGTGTTGGGTTTGTTGGTTTTGTTTGGCCTGTTGGA